GGCTGAGTTTGGAAGCAGAGAGAGCAGGGGACACTGCCCCCCTAGTCTTTTAAAAGAAGAATGAACAGTTCTTCCCTGTTCATGTTTTTGTTTCTTCAACAGGGAAGAGTGGGCAGGTCTAAGACAAACATGCTGAGCACATTCTGTCAGGAAGGACAGACAGGGAAAAAAGGGAGGAGGGGTTGCCTTGTATATTAAAAATGTACACACTTGGACTGAAGTGGAGATGAACGTAGGAGATAGCTGTGTAGAGAGTCTCTGGGTTAAGCTAAAAGGGGTAAAAAACGAGGGTGATATCATGCTAGGAGTCTACTACAGGCCACCTAGCCAGGTGGAAGAGGTGGATGAGGCCTTTTTTAAACAATTAACAAAACTATCCAAAGCCCAAGATTTGGTGGTGATGGGGGACTTCAACTATCCAGACATATGTTGGGAAACTAACACAGCGAGGCACAGGCTATCCAATAAGTTTCTGGACTGCATTGGAGACAACTTTCTGTTTCAGAAGGTTGAAAAAGCTACCAGAGGAGAAGCTGTTCTGGATTTGGTTTTAACAAATAGGGAGGAACTAGTTGAGAACTTGAAAGTGGAAGACAGTATAGGGGACAGTGATCATGAAATAATAGAGTTCATGATCTTAAGGAAAGGTAGAAGGGAGACCAGCACAATTGAGGTTATGGATTTCAGGAAGGCAGATTTTGATAAGCTCAGAGAACTTGTAGGTAAGGTCCCATGGGAAGCAAGACTGAAGGGAAAAACAACTGAGGAGAGTTGGAAGTATTTCAAAGGGACGTTGTTAAGGGCCCAAAAGCAAACAATTCCGCTGTGTAGGAAAGATAGAAAATATGGCAAAAGACCAGCTTGGCTTAACAAGGAGATCTTGCATGATCTCAAAATAAAAAAGGAGTCATATAAAAAATGGAAACTAGGACAACTAACAAAGGATGAATATAGGCAAGCAACACGGGAATGCAGGGGCAAGATTAGAAAGGCAAAGGCACAAAATGAGATCAAACTAGCTACAGGCATAAAGGGAAACAAGAAGACCTTTTATAAATACATTAAAAGCAAGAGGAAGACCAAGGACAGGGTAGGCCCACTGCTTAGTGAGGAGGGAGAAGCAGTAACAGGGAACTTGGAAATGGCGGAGATGCTCAATGACTTCTTTGTTTCGGTCTTCACCGAGAAGTCTGGAGGTGTGCCTAACGTAGTGAATACAAGCAGAGAGAGGGTAAGTTTAGAAGATAGGATACACAAAGAACAAGTTAAAAATCACTTAGGAAAGTTAGATGTCAGCAAGTCACCAGGTCCTGATGAAATGCATCCCAGGATACTCAAGGAGCTGATAGAGGAGGTATCTGAGCCTTTAGCTATGATCTTTGAAAAATCATGGCAGACAGGGGAGATTCCAGAAGACTGGAAAAGGGCAAATATTGTGCCCATCTATAAAAAGGGGAATAAGAACAACCCAGGAAATTATAGACCGGTCAGTTTAACGTCTGTCCCAGGGAAGATAATGGAGCAGGTAATTAAGGAAATCATATGCAAACACTTGGAAGGTAATAAAGTGATAGGGAATAGCCAGCATGGGTTTGTGAAGAACAAGTCATGCCAAACTAATCTGATAGCTTTCTTTGATAGGATAACGAGCCTTGTGGATAAGGGAGAAGCGGTGGATGTCATATACCTAGACTTTAGTAAGGCATTTGATACGGTCTCGCATGATATTCTTATTGATAAACTAGGCAAATATAACTTAGATAGGGCCACGATAAGGTGGGTGCATAATTGGCTGGATAACCGTAGTCAGAGAGTTGTTGTTAACGGTTCTAAATCCTGCTGGAAAGGGATAACAAGTGGAGTTCCTCAAGGGTCTGTTTTGGGACCCGTACTGTTCAATATCTTCATCAATGATGTAGATATTGGGATAGAGAGTACTCTTATTAAGTTTGCAGATGATACCAAACTGGGTGGGGTTGCAACTTCTTTGGAGGATAGGGACATAATTCAAAATGACCTTAGCAAGTTAGAGAAATGGTCAGAGGTAAACAGGATGAGGTTTAATAAGGAGAAATGCAGAGTGCTCCACTTAGGAAGGAACAATCAGTTCCATACATACAAGATGGGAAGCGACTGTCTAGGAAGGAGCATGGCGGAAAGGGATCTAGGGGTCATAGTGGACCACAAGTTGAATATGAGTCAACAGTGTGATGCTGTTGCCAAAAAAGCAAATATGATTCTAGGTTGTATTAACAGGTGTGTTGTAAGCAAAACTCGTGAAGTCATTCTGCCGCTCTATTCTGCACTAGTTAGGCCTCAGCTGGAGTACTGTGTCCAGTTCTGGGCGCCACATTTCAAGAAAGATGTGGAGAAATTGGAAAGGGTACAGAGAAGAGCGACAAGAATGATTAAAGGTTTAGAGAACATGACCTATGAAGCCAGGCTTCGTGAACTGGGCTTGTTTAGTTTGGAAAAACGAAGATTAAGGGGGGACATGATAGTGGTTTTCAAATATCTAAAAGGGTGTCACAAGGAGGAAGGAGAAAATTTGTTTCTCTTGGTTTCTGAGGACAGGACAAGGAGTAATGGGCTTAAAGTGCAGCAGGGGAGGTTTAGATTGGACATTAGGAAAAAATTCCTAACTGTCAGGGTGGTCAAATATTGGAATAAATTGCCAAGGGAGGTGGTGGAATCTCCCTCTCTGGAGATATTTAAGAACAGGTTAGATAGACATCTGTCAGGGATGGTGTAGGTGGAGCTTGGTCCTGCCTTGAGGGCAGGGGGCTGGACTCAATGACCTCTCGAGGTCCCTTCCAGTCCTATTATTCTATGATTCCACGCCCTCCCAGCACTTTGAGGGCCACAAATCCACTGATTCACCCTCCCTCCCAAAGCTTGGACAGCCACGAAGTGCTGGGTGGGAAGAGAAGCAGGCAGTGTGGGGTTCCAGTGCCCCAGAGCACAAGCAGCATGTGGAGGAGGAGGGCCGAAAGGGGGTCCAAGGGCTGCAGGCAGAAACATAGTATGGCCCACAGGTTGCCCACCACTGGCCTATACTGAAAGTGAGACCACCTGCTACCATGAAGTGAAGCAGTAGGATATAATTATAGTAAGTGTCAGATATCATCAGAATACCTGGTATGTTCTTGCTCCAGGCAATGACTGTTAAAAACATTACAAGATACACACACAAATACACTAGGACCTCCCCAAAGAATTACTTTTCAAAGCAAGCATTCCAGTAAATGCGTTAAATGCTAATGAAAGCTGTAGAGCTATGAACTAAAAGTTAGAACTAAAGCCATGCCTAAGAATTAAAAAATTCCTAAGAATTAAAAATAAAAACAAGACCATGCTAGTGATTTACGTTTAGTGGTGTTCTTGAGCTGAGTTATTGTCACATTAGTCAGACTGCAGTCTGGACAAGAGGACACAGTGTGAGCTAGCGTGATCTGCTCTCAAGATAAAAAACAAGCAAAGCAGCCACATACGCATGTATTCATTACCTTTGTCAGACAGTTTCACAATTAGTTCCCTAAAAAGCAGGCTTCTACTTTAGGAAGAATTGTAGTTAGGTAACAATGCTGCCAATCGGATAAGAACTCTATTCCCAGTCAGAACACAATTTGGTGCCTGGTCAGAACCAGCAGAAATTATTTGTTTGGGTTAAAATATTAAGCAATGGGGGCAAAATCTTAAATCCAATTGGGAGAGAACTTCTTAACTATTTACTTATCAGATGTTAATACTTTCTCAAACGGGGGCGAGGGGAGGAAAGGGAAGAGGGGGAATTACCTTCTGATTATTAAAACCCCTTTCAGCCACATGAATCTATCCTACTCATTCAGGCCCACCTCAAACGAACTGACCTTTTCTCCATACTTACTGCACTCACTGCTCCTCCCTTTTATAGAATGGGTGGGCAACCTTTTTGGAGGCTGGGACCACTGACCCACAGGAAAATCAATCTGGGCTACACGCAAGTGAGAAGTAAAAAAAAAAAAAAACAAAAAAACAAAAAAGCCACACCCCCGAAACCCTCACTGATGTGGCACCCAACTGAGGAGAAAAACACTCCCCACATTCCCATCGCACACCAAAGCCTAGGAGGGCCCAGCCTAGTACGTTTTGGGTCTACTTTTCAGCGTCAGTCTAATATCAATCTCCAGTACCTGGAAGTGGCCATGGGCTTTTACACAATATCACTGAAAATCCCCTCCATAAACAAGGACCCAAGTTCCTTACCCTGACCACCTGCCGTGTACTTGTGATAAAGGCTTTTCTTACACCCAGCTCTGTGGCATCAAGGTTGAATTTCCGAGGGTTTGCTTCAACAATGCGTAAATAAGTCAAGGAACTATTTAATTGCTATTCAGCATTTGTGATGATCTAGACATCCTGCCTGCCTGGAAAGTGCTCACCAACTGCTATCATTCCTAAGTGTAACTGAATCTTTCAAAAACTCTGGTTAGCAAAATGCTAGATAGGAACATAATCTTATCATTACAACCACTAATGGAAAGTGGCGGCGAAGGAATGCATTCTAAAGGACATGTATTAGCATCAAGAGTCTACCGCTTCAAGATTTGGGTTTTCTGATCTGTGCTGTGTAAAACTCTGTTTGAAATTAAAATGGGGGAGGGGGGGAAGAGATGATTTTGGAAGGATGTTAACATAAGCTTGAACACAAACTAAATTTATCCCATGGAAGGGGCTTTAGCAAACAGAATAAGTCATTTTAAACTGCATCTTACAGGGAGAAAAAGATAAGGAACACATTTGCTTGAAAGTATTTTAAGTTATTCTTTGAAATGTGAGAAAAGCTGGGATACAACTGACTGTGTTGTCTAAACTAATCTATACACATAAAGCAGTCTAATACAAATAGAACTCCTATGAAAAATTTATATTGCGTATGATGCATGCGTGACACATAAGCTGTACTGATCTACAGGCTAGTTATTATGTAGGTTCATCTCTGATTTTCCAAAGGACTGCAGCAGCCCTATAGAAAGGATATTAATAGTTTCGTCCAAATCTTCCAGATCCCACTCGATACTCCGCAGGTTATTCCTGAGCTCATTGGTGGTCCAGTCAACTTCTTCTCTTGTGGCTGTGGAGGGATCTTGCAGGAGCTCTGTCCATCTCTGGAACAGCCCCTGCGCTGTGTTCACTGCTTTTTGTACCTCCCTGCAATTAAGATGAGAAGATAGATGTTGATAATTAGCATGCATTCTCTGTACTGACAAGACTAAGGGCTTGTCCAGAGGGGGAAACTGTCTAATCTATTAGTTATGCCGGTCTTTTCTCGATGTACATAAACCCCAAGCAGGGAATTGTTGTCACTAATTTTCACTATAAACCTACCTGCATCAATAATCCCCAGAAGTTCTTCCTCCACACCCTCATTTCTTTTGAACATGAAAGATTCTTTACATATAGTAGATGCAAAACAGTCAGTCAGCCTCTTCTCTCCCCTCGTGGGCTGTGTCTAGACTGCATCCCTTTTCCATAAAAGGGATGCAAATTAGACACATCGCAATTGCAAATGAAGCAGGGATTTAAATCCCCCTCGCTTCATTTGCATAAACATGGCTGCCGCTTTTTTCCGGCTTGGAGCTTTGCCGGAAAAAAGCGCCAGTCTAGACGGGGATCTTTCGGAAAATAAAGCCTTTTCTGAAAGATCCCTTATGCCTCTTTAAATCCCCGCTTCCATTTGCAATTGCGATGTGTCTAATTTTCATCCCTTTTACGGAAAACGGATGCAGTCTAGACACAGCCATAGTGTGGTAGGAATTACCACATTATGAAATTGTTACAGCAATCCCAATTTTTGAAGGGACCCAATTCTTCAGCCTAATGCTGCCACATAACTAAATCTTCATACACTGCCGTAGTAGTTACACTGTTGCACCAATATTCTTTGCTGAATGGAGGAAGTAGACTATGCTTTACATCTTTCATCACATAACTGGGAAATGCCTAGGTAACACTGCAATATCAACTACATATGCATGCTTCTCCTTCCCCTCCCTCCCCCCCAATAATTTCACTTCACAAAGGGCAATAAGAATTGCAGGAATTATCCTCATAGAATTTTTACATGGATTGTGTTCAGCATGGCCCTGATTATTTTAATATTACCAGTCAAATATGAACTGCCTTTGCTGCTGCCACAAGCTTCATGGAAAAGCACATTCAATTTATATAATGGAAATGCATGCTTTTCTGATGGCACTAGGACCATCATTTAATTGTTTAGGGTAAGAGGATAAGTAGCAAATGTCTACCAGCAAATGTCAGTCTTATTCCCGTGGAATACAAATTCGAAATAAGAGGAAGACAGTGTGCGTATCTTTATTTTGTACCCCAATATATTTGGAAAAAAATCTACTTAAATATCAACTAAAAGACTATCCTCAGAGCTAAATCTGAGGCGGACACAAGCAGAATTATGTCATCTTAGGGGACAGCACAAGAGAACCTAAACCCCTTCTTTCACTGTATCAGCAAGTCTCCACCCTCCTACTAGACATTCTGTGAAGTTTGACTGGACATAGCCCAGCTACCAGCCCAAAGTATTTTATTTTCTCTCCCTAACAGCAAGACATCCTTGAAGCAAGTTTCATTTTTACCATCCACATTGGTGAACTCTTACCCTCTCTCCATATTCACAACCGGTTTTTCCTCTGCTTCCCTGCCTCTCTCTCAACCATCTGTTCCTCTTGTCATGATTTCATTAGGACTTGAAATTAAGATAATAAACTAAAAGCTTGCACTGGAAAATTTTGACTCCTTCAAACCCAAATTCTGCAACCATATACAAGTCAAGCCACATTAATAGCACTCAGACAATTTCCCTATGCAAGCAGCTCCCCCATAATATTGGTTTCCCTCTATTTTTTGCACATTATCCCCAATTTAAATTCACTTTAAGGTCTGTAGCCCTCAGCATTCATGTAGCAGTGACACACTGCCCCACCACAATTGCATCATATTACTTATACGCCCTCTACAATCTCCTTAAAAAAAGACCCTATTTCTTGCATCTGCCTACTTGTCTCCTTAGGATAGAGCAGTGGCTGTCAGTATTTCCACACTACTGTGTCTCTTTCATAAGCCTGATTTGTCAAGTGTGCCCCCAAATTTCACCTCACTTAAAAACTATTTGCTGGCAAAAGAGACACAAAAATACAAGTGTTGCCGCACACTATTACTGAAAAATTCCTACTTTTGTTTTTACCGTATAATTATAAATCAAGGAATATAAATACAATACATTTCAGTATGTAGCATCTGAAGCAGCATGAACAAGTCATAGTCTTCATGAAATTTAATTTGTATGAATTTTACTAGTGCTTTGTGTGTAGTCTTTTTGTAAAACTAGTTAAATAGCTAAGTTTATGTACCCAGGAAGACCTCTGCACATCCCCAGAGTAAGAGCAGCCTAGTAGAGAACCACTGAGATGAGGGTCTTTCCTCCTCCCCCGACCCATTTGTCTCCACTCATCTCAAGCAAAATATTCTCTCTATGCCAGGGCAGCCACAGGCTCAAGAAATGCATGCAACCCCTTCAAACACCAAACTATTGAAAATATTATAAACCACAAGAAACAGGCAACTCATTAGCCAGTCCACACGCTCTCTGCAGCAGGCTGGGTTCCAAAATCCGTAAAACTGCTTTCTCCTCAAAATCCCTGCCTAGGTTGACAGAACTGTAGTTTTGTTACTCTAACTAGGGCTAGGCCAACTCAAGTGGTCACGCCCAAATAACGATTACCAGAGTTAACTCTGCAACCAAGAAATACTTTTCCCAATCTCATTCTCTAACCACCTATTATTGTTTGTGTACATAGGAGATTTTTTTATCCCGAGTTTAACTGATTGACTATTAACACAAGATAGGTTTATCAAGGATAGGCTGGGCAGTCTATACACACTTGCTGCAAGGTAAACATTTCTGGTATACCCTAGGCTCAGCCCACACTAAAAGAAATCACAAACACTTGTATCCTGGAAAAATGTTTGGGAAGTGGGCAGCGTAACCTTCACAAACATTAGCTCTCAGGTTATTAGGCAATATATTAGAGAACATACCATCCCAGTGGACTATGATATAGTCCCTTGTACCTCCACGGGAGCAAATCTGCTGCTGGAGGTGTGGCCACCCATCCCACATGCACCCTAGGGACGTTACATATAGTGTAACTGAATAAACTTAAAAAACAACAAATGCATTGGTAGCATTTTATAGACTAACAAAACATGTAGTCTATAAAAAGCTCATGATACTATCTACATGTTGCTAGTCTATAAAGTGCTACCAGACCATTTGTTGTTTTTTAAGTTTATCCTGTACAGACTAACTCGGCTACCCCCGAAGCTTCCGTAACTGAATAATCATGTAACCGCACAAAATATTATCGGTTATGCCACTATTCAATAGTCCGCAGGGGGCAGGACCAGCAACCAGTGCACTCCTGGCTTCAGAGGCAGCCATGCAGGGTGGCATGCGGAAGCAGTCTGCAAGGGGAGCCAATTTAAAAAACAGCGCCCCTCGCGGACTGGCTGCCTGCTGCCCTGCACTGCTCTCTCTGGGTATGTCTACACTAGCCCCCTAGTTCGAACCAGGGAGGATAATGAGGGCGACCGAAATTGCAAACAAAGCATGGGATTTAAATATCCTGTGCTTCATTAGCATATTCCCGGGCAGCCGCCATTTTGACTAGCCCGGAATAACTGCCCACGTCTACACGCAGCAGAGAAGAGCAATTCCAAAATAAACCCCTTATTTCGAATTGCCAGTTAAACCTCATTCCATGCTTCATTAGCATGTTCTCGGGCAGTTGCCAAAATGGCGACCGCCCGGGAACACGCTAATGAAAAGCAGGATATTTAAATCCCACGCTTCATTTGCAATTTTGGTCGCCCGCATTAGCCTCCCTAGTTCAAAATCGGGGACTAGTGTAGACATACCCTCTGATAAGGAAGCAGCAGCATGTGGAGCTGGGACCCCTGCTGACAGGGACTGCTGCCCTGAAGGCTGCTTCATGGTATGTGGAGCAGAGAGCTTGGACCCCCTGTGAACAGAAGCTGCTGCTTGCAACAGCCTCTCCTGCACCCTCCTTTCCCTGCTGCCTCTGAGACCGCAGCATGGAGGGGGCAGGCTCAACCACAGAGCCGGTGCTGTGGTGGGGGAACCAGCTTTTAAGCTTGCTCCCCTAACCACTGGCTCCTACCTGCCCACCCCAGTATGCAAGGGGGGGAAGGCAGATCCACAGAGCCCATACGCGTGGGGAGCTGGCGTGAAAGCTGATTCCCACATGTATCAGTTCTAGCCTATGCCCCTCACTGCTGCCTCTCTATCAGAGGCAGCAGCATAGGGAAAGGGGAGCAAGGGCGGCAGATCCAGTGCTCATTGGGATCCTGCTTAAAACCAGTTCCTCATGGGCACCAGCTCCCACTTCCCACCCCTCTCCCCCCCCACACTGATACAGAGGCAGCAAAGGGGGTGGCATACATGTAGTCAACAAGATTAAACAATAAGCCTAGGCTCATTGGTTAATCGTATAATTGGCTACTTGTTGACATCCCTACTTGGGACAGAGCATGAGGCAGGTGGGGCCAGAAGCCCATACAAATTTGTTTCCCTTTGGTAAATAGGGAGAGAAAGGTTAAGTAGGTGGAAGATTCCAGGGAAGTGGGGAAAAGCAGGGAAAGTAAAGAATTCCTCCACCCCAGAGATTCTCTCACCTCTTACAAAGGTGAGGAGAGTACGGATGATCCCTGCCCCATCTCACTCCCCTCCACTGAGGCAGGTGGGGCCAGAAGCCCATACAAATTTGTTTCCCTTTGGTAAATAGGGAGAGAAAGGTTAAGTAGGTGGAAGATTCCAGGGAAGTGGGGAAAAGCAGGGAAAGTAAAGAATTCCTCCACCCCAGAGATTCTCTCACCTCTTACAAAGGTGAGGAGAGTACGGATGATCCCTGCCCCATCTCACTCCCCTCCACCCATCCGCCC